CCCACTTCACCATGCTCTACTCTGAGATCCCTTTCCCCAAGAATGAAGCCTTTTCATCTACTCCTTTCACTAACCTAGGCTCTCCGATACATTCAAACTGAAGCATTAGCCCTGCCCAGGGATGCGGAAAGCAGAGGGAAACAGAAGAGGTAGATCAAGAGAACCTGGAGCCTTTACCACCACAGTTTGGGGATTAATAAGTTCTTCAGTTACTGAGGAGGGATTGGAAGCACAAAAGGGCAGGGGGACAGGAAGTGTTGGGGGGTAGTTGAAGGGAAGAGAAAGTTCAGTGATACCAATGATCATGAGTCAATCATTCATCATTTTGTTCTTAAATAAAGAAGCATGGGATAGCAAGAAGAGAGAAAGAGATGGAGGGAGTAGAGAGTAAGGAACAGAAGATGAGATAAAATCACACAAGCTATGGGCACCTGACTAATCTAACCAGTGGTTCATGATGAACTTCCTCTGCTTGCCTTCAAGAAGCAAAAGGACACAGCGCTGCAAACTGCCTTGAAGATGCTTCATCTCAGGCTAGATCCTAGCTATAAGGGGCACTTATTTTCTTGGAACTTGGTCCATTGAAATAGAGGCCCTTCCTCTAAGGTGTTAGCTTTAAAGATGGAGAAACCCATAGGACTGAAGTTGGGGCATTTTCTAGATCTGAAGACCCTGCTGGCAATTAGCCATGGGGCAGAAGAGTTCCCACGGAAAGTCACTGATGACCTCAAATCCTTCAGCTGACCATGGTGACCTCTTCCACCTCCCTCTCACCCTGTCTTCGTGCATGTCATAGGATGGGCACACCACTAATTAGTCCTTTTTCTTGCTTCTTCTTCATTGCTAATGAGGAAAAAAAGATTAAAAAGACAAAGGGCCAAGAAGGAAAGGCAAAAGAGAAGTCAAAGCTGCTATTCCTGCCTAATTGGACCATCATCAGGTCTAAGCAAGAAGGGCCAGCCTCCCTGTTTCTCATTTGAAGACTATCTAACTTGACCACTGCAAAGTCAGCTGCCCTAAAGGCCAAAGTTGTTCAAGAGGAGCCCTGACTATATGAAAGAGCCAGCTCAATACCAATTTCACAGACAAATGCAGAAGGAGACATGAGCTTTGGTCAGCTTTATTTTAGAATGGGGGAGGGTAAAGATTTACTAGGGTACCTTGAGCAACTGAGGAGAGGGAACCTGAAATGACCCTATCCTATAGCCATACTGATGAATATCTTGCATATCACCTTAGAACCTTCATCTGGCGATGGATCGAGAGACAGAGACCCAAATTGGAGCACCGGACTGAGCTCTTAAGATCCAAATGAGGAGCAGAAGGAGGGAGAACATGAGCAAGGAAGTCAGGACCACGAGGGGTGCACCCACCCACTGTGACAGTGGAACTGATCTATTGGGAGCTCACCAAGGCCAGTGGGACTGGGACTGAATAAGCATGGGATGAAACCGAACTTTCTGAACATGGCGGACAATGAAGGCTGATGAGAAGCCAAGGACATGGCACAAGGTTTCGATCCTAATACATGAACTGGCTTTGTGGGAGCCTAGCCTGTTTGGATGCTCACCTTCTTGGTACTGGATAGAAGTGGGAGGACCTTGAACTTCCCGCTGGACAGGGAATCTGGACTGCTCTTCATTCTCGAGAGGGAGGGGGAATGGAATGGGGGGAGGGGGAGGGGGTAGAAGAGTGGGGGGAGGGGCGATGTGTGCGAGGAGGGGGAGGGAAATGGAAAATGGGGAGGAGGCGGAAAAATTTTTTTTTTTTTTGCAAAACTAAAAAAAGAAAAAAAAGATTTACTAGGGTGACTGGACTCATGTCTTAAGAAATTTCAGTGACAGACAAAGTAATACACATTCTTGGTAAGCTAGTTGATTCTACCTTGACATTTATTTAGAAAGCATTATTTACTATAGTAGCTGATCCATGCCATGACAAAGGAAAGAAAAGAAAAGAGATTGGGGGGGAGCAAAGAGAGAAAAGGAGGAAGAGGAGAAGGGAAAAGGGATGGAAGAAAGAAGCCAGGGATAGAAAAAACATCAAGGGGGGCAGAGATGAAACAAGGTTATCTGTGTAAGACAGTCCAGTCATCATGGATCAAAGGTCCTCTGCAACCCCCCATTTATATGTCAAAATCCTAACCTCGTATCTCAGAATGTGAGTATATTTGGAGACAGGAATTTAAAGAAGAGATTAAGGTAAAAGTAAGCTATTAGAATGTGTTCTGATCCAATGTGATAGATGTCTTCATGAGTAATTAACCACACCAAGAAATCATGAGATTAAACATATGATGGCTGCTACTTTCAAGCCCAAGAAAGAGGCCTAAAGAAGCCAATCCCTCTGGCATGTTGACCTTGAAGATGATAACTGAACACAGCCTCAGAAGCTGAAAAGATTAATTAAATCCACTCATGCAAAACAGTTACAGCAGCACCTGGCATAAAACAGGCCCTCAAGAAGTGGCAGCTGAGGTTGCTGCTGCCGTAGCGACTGATAACAAGCTGAGGACATCAGGAGACCTGGTGAGACACCCAATTGCAGTTAACAAGACTGTCTCAATGAACACCTCGCCACCAGCATCCTAGATGCCCTCAGGTGTGTGACCAAGCCCCCTGGGACTTCCATTCTCCTCCTTTTTCAATGGTAGTCTGAACTTTTCTGCCTGGCACTCAGGATTCTACAAGGTTTTCACTGGGAACAGAAAGGCAAGTGGCCCAAGTTGTTTAGCAAGAGTTCGGGGGGGGGGGGTAACCTTCAAACTCAGAATCACTGGCTTCATTAGTCCAGGGAATGATTTTCTGAGGTACCTTCACCCCCTTACTGGGCCTGGTAGCGGAGAGAGCTGAGGAATAGAAAGACAGCAGCTTTTGTGTCACCTGGCTTCTCCTGGAAGCTGGACTCAGGTGAGGAGGGAGATGGGAGATGGCACAAGAGAGCAGTAGGTGCTTTCCTAACTAAGCCTTAGATGTTCCTACCATAGGCAGACAGCAACTTCTGCTCCACATCCCTGGGCCACAGCAGGTTAAGAGCGATGGGGTACAAAGTCAGCAAGTACAAGTTTATTCTGTTAATGTGGGTTATCCCCGCCATTCTGTGATACATTATGCCCTCTGTTCTGAGGACCAAGAGAGAGGTATTTTAAGGTGGTTGGTTGTTTGGTACTGGGGAAAGAATCCAGGGTCTTGTATACCAGAAGTATATGTTCTCCCATGGAGTCCCAAGGCATGAATTAGGATTCTACAATTTAGCAGGCCCGAATTCAGGAAAATTATATTATGCGGAACATAGAATTGAGAGCAAGCGTGCCTCTGATGCAACCTGTTCCTGCCCATGCCATCCATAAGGGAACAGGGATCAGAATAAACCCTGCATAGTAACTGAGGAACAACATTGCCTGCCATTTTTCATTTCACATAAAAGGTGCTTAAGGGCTCCTTGCGGGAAAGGATCTAAGTCATCTAGGGTACCATCTCAGTAGATTCAGAAACAGGGAATCTGCGGTGGGGCCTGAAGCCCCACATTTCTAATAAGCAACACCCAGTTGATGCTTAATTTCAGACCACACTTCAAATTATACACTTAGGGTAACTGAATTAGAAGTTCCTAACACATGGGTTTTCTGGGAACAGTCTGAGGAGCCCTGCTTTGATATCACTTGGGGGTCTGTTTGCTACTGTCCCGCCAACCAGTTTCTCTGCCTGTGGGACCTCGTGAGCCTCCTTATTTGCTTGTTTCTTTGTTTCGTAGTGCAAGGGGTGGGAACCAGGCCCTTGAATAGACTAGGCAGACCTTCTAGCACTGAGCTAAAGCCATAACCACAGCTAATAATCTAATGAGTCTGGAGTCTAGTGAGAAGGTTCAAAATTCATTGATTTATATGAACCTTGACTTTTAATTCCTACTGCTATGTGATATAAATCTAGACCAGCACAATTTACAGTACTGAGGAGCATCTGTGGAGTGAAGATGATTACATGATGTAGAAGGAACAGCATGCAGTCTGACATTAGGACTGAGAGGCTCAGACTCTGGTCTTAACTGTCACAATTCAGGTGACATCCTGAGTATCAGTTTCTTCCTCTATGAAGCAAGAGGCTGTAATAGCTGTCCTATGTACCTACCTCAAAAACAGCCTAGCGGCCGGGCGGTGGTGGCGCACGCCTTTAATCCCAGCACTCGGGAGGCAGAGGCAGGCGGATCTCTGTGAGTTCGAGACCAGCCTGGTCTACAAGAGCTGGTTCCAGGACAGGTTCCAAAGCTACAGAGAAACCCTGTCTCGAAAAACCAAAAAAAAAAAAACAGCCTAGCATAGCAAAAGACCTTGTAAGCTATGAAAGTGGAATTGCCATTTCAAGGGTAACGCTATAATGTTCATCAGAAAGGCAAACTTAAGTCGTGAAAGCAAAAAGCTGTATTAGTCATGTTTAAAAATACTTGTCCCCTGGACTTTGAATGAGTGTCTCACTAACTTCAGGAGCACCACATGTAGGAGTCTAGACAGTATACTATTCCCCCAGCCTTTTAGCTCCTCCATCTCCTGAAGGGGGAGGTGGAGGAAGCGATCCATTCTGCCCTGTGGATTTGAGTGGATGGATAAGAAATCTGCTTGCTCGCGAGGGTCTCCAGTAAAACAGACAAGTTTTGAGGCTCCCTGGCATGTTAGTCTACATCACTGCACCTCTTAAAACATCTACAAGTCTCAGCCTAAGGGTGAAGACTTAGACCCATTTACTTCCATAGAACCTCTCCAATTTCTATATAAAGTTTTGGTTTTTCTACTTCTGATCTAAACCCATGCTGTAGTGCAAGTCTAACACAGTACTCCTGCTCCACGAAGCCTCCACTAACTATAGACACGACTGGCAAACATCAACAGATATTCACAACTTCAAATCATGCGGCCATAAGGGCAAAGATTTAGGAGAAACAATGGGTAGCAAAGAAGTTCTCCTGACTCAGATGTTGCTGATTCACTCTTAGGAGAGACGACTTACCAGCCGCGTATTTACCACAGGAAACAGCAACGCCAGAAGAGCTCCATTCAGCATGTGCATCTGTAACCTGTAGGAGAAAGAAGACCAGCGGGTCACAAGAGAGAAGAAATGTTTGAGGTTGAACTAGGACATGTGTAAGAAGCAGCCCTCTGTGTAAAGCAGCCCCAGAGCTCATCCAAATGCAAAGCAGATGAAAATCGGTATATTTTGTGTTTATTACCTGAAACACATACTACCTCAGAATCCCCAAACTCTTCCTGAACACGCGTTGGTTCCAACGGACCTTTCACCTGTAGTCTGTTTCCTAAACATTCTGTCAGCCCCACCCAACGCTTCTAACTGCTGCAGCATTTGTCTGAAAAGGGGAAGTGCAGCAGTTAAGTGCTTGTTGTTACTATAGCAGCCAGTTTATTAGAAGGCGACTGCTTGTTTACTGAGCTACGGTCAGCCTTTCCACCAAAGACCTAGACAGAAAGCGTTGGTACAAGCTAGAGAGCTGTCTATGAGGATCCGTGTAGTCAACGTGACATCTAGGAAGCAAGCTTCCAGGAACGCTTGTGAAGAACTCTCCGGGTTAACGTTAACTCGAGAATGCCTGTGATGGACTATCAAACTTGGGTTAGCTGAGACAGAAAGACCCACCATGAGTGAGCAGGACCATTCCCTGGCCTGGGATCCTAGACTGTGTAAAATAGAGAAGGAAACTGAGCTGCATGTATTAATTTATTGCTCTTTGCTCTTGGCTGCACCTGCATCCTTGACATCCTGACACTGAGGGACTAGAACATGGAATTGGGAGCAAAATAAACCTTTTCTTCCTTAAGTTCCTTCTGTCAGTGTATTTTAACATAGCCACAGGAAAAGAAACTAACAGAAGATCGTGTTTCCAGGTCTTAATACCAGACTTGTTGAATGAGTACTACTGCCAGGTGGTGGTGGTGCATGTCTTTAATCCCAGCACTGGTGAGGCAGAGGCAGGCGGATCTCTGTGAGTTAGAGGCTAGCCTGGTCTACAGAGCGAGTTCCAGGACAGGCTCCAAAGCTACAGAGAAATCCTGTCTTGAAAAACCAGTAATAATAATAATAATGAGAAGGAGAAGAAGAAAAAGAAGAAGTAAATAAATGCATACTATCCATACTTCCTATGTCAAGAACAAAGAACCCAGGAATAAACCTTCTTGGGAGGTTCTGAGAAGGGATTGAAGCAGCTAGCTTTCTTCAGCATTCCGGGCAAACAGTTCTTGAGAAAGAGGCAAAGAATATGAGTTTGTTCCTCCTGAAGAAAAGCTTATTGGACGCTCATGGCCAACCATCACTGACCTGTATGTCTCAGCACAAGCTGAGGAAGACACACACAACTGAAGAGGCTAGATGACCTCTGAGCCCTGCCCTCCACCCCGACACACACATACTAGTCCTAGGACAACAGGATATCTTGAAGAAGAACCCTACTAGGTGTGTCCATCTTTGGGCCATGGGCTGCACTTGCCCAGTATAACTAGGATGTGGTTCAACGAGCAGTCATGAACATAAAACACAATGCTGGGTCTTTTGCTATTTTTTTCAAAGGAGAACTTTGTAGATGACAATGTTGTATCCAGGCATCAAAAGTTTGAACACGCCTGCATCTAGACATTTGGTGCTCCTCTTGTTGCTCACAAAAGTGGCCCAACAACCAAGGAATATTCAAGCGCAGCCCCATAATATGGCACAGAAATCCTGAGACTTGTTTTTCATCCCAGCTAATCTGCTTCCTCCTGCTGTTCTTTGTCACCAAGGCCTCAATGATCATAATGTTCACTTAATACACTTCAGGAAAGTATCACATTAATCGCTTTGTATGAACCTCTCACCTAGTTCTGGTAGCAAATTTCTAAGCAGGCACTCTGACTTTTCCATCATTTTGATGTGAAAATAAAGTTCATTCAGGAAAAAAAGGTAACATGCTCAATGCCAAGACTCACTCAAATCTATTTGACATCACACTTCAAATTTCCAGCATTTATCACTACCTTATATCAGTGCGCCCACCCACTGAGACGGTGGGGCTGATCTAATGGGAGTTCACCAAGGCCAGCTAGCTGATGATGGAGCATGTTATCAAACCGGACTCCCTGAACATGGCTGACAATGAGTGCTGACTGAGAAGCCAAGGACAAAGACACTAGGTTTTGATCCTACTGCACATACTGGCTTTGTGGGAGCCTAGTCTGTTTGGATGCTCACCTTCCTAGTCCTGGATGGAGGAGGGAGGACCTTGGACTTCCCACAGGGCAGGGAACCCCAACTGCTCTTTGGACTGGAGAGGGAGGGGAAGGTGGATGGGGGGAGTGGGAGGGAAATGGGAGGAGGGGAGGAGGTAGAAATTTTAATTAAATAATAAAAAAAGAATAAAAAAGTTCTCAAAACTCAGTTATACAAGGTGAGTGGGGAGTGTAACGTGAATTATATTTAATACATAAAATGGACTTTGCCATAAATAATTACAAAAATATTGAACATCTGTAAATCACTGGGCTAAGTATTCAAAGATATCTAATTCAATCCTCCTAGGTTTTTATTTTGTTTTGTTTTGGTTATTTGTTTCAAGACAAGGTCTTACTATGTAGCTCTGGCTGTCCTGGAACTATGTAGACCAGGCTGGCCTTGAACTCACAGAGATCCATCTGCCTCTTCTTCTGGAGTGCTGAGATTAAAGGTGTATACCACCACACTCAGCTTACCTAGGTTTCATTATAATGATCATTATCTTCTTCATTTCATAACTGAGAAAACAAACACTCTAAATAATTGAGTTGCCCAAGATCACGTGGGCAATAAGTTTCAAACTTCCATTTTTGTCACTGTACTCATCTTCACGCAAGGCATGAGCATTACATGTATCCTGTATAATTAGTTCTTACCCATCTTCATGCATGGCATGAGTGTTACGTATGTCCTGCATAACTAGTCACCTTTTTGTTTTATAATCTAGAAAGACTGTCTGAGGTCTTTTAAAAAATATTTTAATTATTTTTGTGTGTAACAGAGAGGAATGGCAGAGGAAAGATCACTTGCTTCATATGTTTCATGTGCACAGTCCTGGGTTCTATTCCCAGTGCTTGCACACACAAACACACGCAGGCACTCACGCACTCACGCACTCATGCACACACACACACACACACACACACACACACACACTCAAGCATGTACTCCCCATAACCTTTCTGACTAGGGAAAGTATGTCCTTTCTGGAGACTTAGTCCTAAAGACAAAAGGGCTCAGTTGTGGGCAAATCTTTGGTATGTAAACTAATCAGTCCATAGCCGCAGTTACTCTGAGTACACTTCTCCATTTCACATCCCAGGACCTGGTGCCATGCCAACTCAAATCCACCCCTCAGTTAAAGCATATAGAAATAAGTCAAGCTAGTCAGCCCTGAACCCTTTACCCAGCTCTGCCTTGTCTTGCCTTCCCAAAGACTACTCAAGGACAGTGGCCTAAATGGTCCCTTCTTCTTGACCACTTCATCTTCATGTCTTTTCCATGTGGCCCCACTGAGAGTACTAGATCTTTCCAAACGAAATAAACTTCATTTTCCAGCCTCTCTTCTGTCTCCTCTTTAGCTACATCTGACTGGCCACCTGGTAAAAGAAAAATACAAAAGAGCAACTACTACTATCACTCACGCTTCCTCTGCAGACAGTTTTTTTTTTTTTATGAGACTTGGTTTTGTTTGTTTGTTTTATGTGTATGAGTGTGTGCCTGCATGTATGTGTGTATAACATTGAGTGCCTGTTTCTCCCCAAGGCCAGAAGAAGGTGTCAGATTTCCTTGGAATTCAACCGTTGTGAGCCGCCTTGTGAATACTAGAACCCAACACAGATACTCTACAGGAGTGGAAAGTACTCTAAGTTGGCTAAGCCATCACTCCAACCCTCCTGCACACAATTTTAGTTCATACTGTGCTCTGGGAACTTAGTTGGTTAGAACCTAGAGCTCCACAGAGGGAAGGCTGCAGCTCGCACCAAAATCATCTACAGCTTCCAAGCACTTTTGACCAAACTCCCAGCAGCATGTTTTGTGTATATGGATAAACTGATCTTAAAATGTACATGGAAAGGACATAGGGACAGAAATAACCAGGACAGTAGCTGATTTTAAAGTTACAGCAGGCAAAACAATGTGCCATTGGTCAAGAACAGACCCATCAGTCATCAAAACAGAACACTTCAGAGTCAGACCACATTGATATGCTCATGTGCTTTTGGCCACAGTGTAAATACTATGTGAGAATAGCGGAATATTGCCAGCACCTTCAAACAGAATTGCTAAAACACCACAGCAGAATTTGTTACACAGAAAGGAAAGAAACTGGAGGGCTTATTCGTTGTAGGAAACAATGGGAAATATAAAACGATTGACTACTTCAGGAAAGTTGGGCTGTATAGTATATTTGATCATATTCTTCTCTTCCCCCCAAGTTCGTCCAGTTCCTCTCCGCCTCCCCTCTACACACCCAACTTTAAGTTCTTTCTCAAACAAACTAAAGGCCCAATACAACAAAACCCCCAAAATCTGAAAAACAAACTGCATCACCCCAAAAAGAAAAACTCCTGAAAATGAGATCTGCCCGGGAGTGGTTGATGTACCCTGTGTGTCATTAATACCTTTGGAGAACTCACAAAACTAGATATCAAGTAAACAAATCCAATGAAAAGTAAATTTATAAAAGTGTAGACAGCTAAAACTGTGTATTCTGTGGCCCAATAATTCTGCTCCAGAGTATTTACCATCCCGAGGTAAAAATGTATGTTTCCGTGAAAATGAGCACACTAATGTTGACAGCACTTCCGTAATAGCCAAAATATAGATTCAGCACAAGTCCCTTTAAATGATAAAAAAAAGACTAAAGAAACTGGACAATGTATATTGTGGAAAATGACTCAGAGAGAAAGCAAGGAAACAACTGACAAAGGTAACAATTTGAATGCATCTCAAAAGAAGCATGTGTGAAAGGCAAAATGTATGAACACTGTGAGTTCAAGAACAGTCTGGTCTACATATCAAGGTCCAGGATAGCCA